GCTTAGTCAACAATATGTACATGGGGCAAATATTAATGAATTAATTACTACTCCATGAATGCAAATGAAATTCCTTTTCTACTAGAAGGCACACATAAGAGCATAATACTCATGAGTTAGTCTAGTTCCTTCCTTCAAAAATGTTTCACAACAATGACCCATTATTTGGAGGTCCCAAAAGTTTACTTCTCAATTACACAGCTGCCAACACCAATATCACACATATTTTGAATTATTCCCTTAAATCACCAGATACTGGCAAAGCTCCTCCCTTCTCCATGGAGAGGAAAGAAAAAGAATGCCAAGAATGGGTGGACGTTGAAAGCGAAGAGTGAGGGCTCACAGCATATTGGTGGACACTGTGATCAGTCTTCTGGCACAAAAAAAAAAATCTCCACACAGGCAGAACTCTAAAGAACTCTCCAAGAGCCCCACTTTCTGCTTGACCTGATTAAAGGGATAGATTTGCCTGTTGCAGCACACAACCTAAAGCAGAAAACACCAATTTGTTGTTCAGCTGATTTTTTTCAGAGAGCTAACTCTTACAGTAGCTCTGGTGAGGTGACGGGGCAGCTCTGCTACCGACCTTTGCGCACCACCTGCCCTTTGGAACAAGCTTCTCTTGGCTGGCTGTGCCCAGTGGCAGGACAAATGGCACAGCAATGATTTTGCACGTGATGGGAAGCCTGTGCTGGACTGGTGAGCTGCCAAGAATTTTGGAGAGGTGACTTGGTATGCAAACAGATCGAAACCATGATGGCAAGGAGTGTGAAGGAGTGATGACAGGTCACTTAAGCTTTTACCTTTTCAGTTAGTCACTTCTGACCCACTTCCTCCCTGACCGCAGGTGACATGGTGACAGCTGTTTTCCAGCTTGGCACAGCTTCTGTCAGTTGTTGCCTCTGTCACTCCAAAGGTTTGACCAGTTCCAGGGCTGACGAGCCCAGCACCTTCACAGTTACACAGGATCCTCTGGATCCTCCCTGTCTCCTCCATGCCACAGCTACTACAGAGAGTCATTAAGAAATTTGTATTTTAGGTTAGCATGAAGTAGAATCAAAGCTATGTCCTAACTAAATACAAAGAGAAACTGTGCTAGGAGAAAATCATGGCAAACATTCGCCACTATGCTAAATATCTTGAAAAATCCTATTTGTAAAAACATTTCAACAAGTTCTCAGTATAACAAATACCTATCCCTACACTTAGCCTTATCTGAACATTAAACTAGAATAGCAAAGAGATGGAAAGTGGGATTTATGGAAACTGTTTTTCTTAGTGACAATGCATAGCTGTTGGTTCACTTTTTTAACTGAAATTTTGAAGTTTTATTTGAAATTAATCAGTGTCTGCTTTTTGGTAGACTCTGTAATCTATGTAATGATCTTTATTAAACTGATGTTCTACAATGGATGTCTTTTTTTTTGACTGGTGCTGAGAATTGAAATTAAAAATCATGATGAAGTGAAGAAATGTCAAGGTATTTACATAAGGGTCCTTTGGGACATTGTAACTTCCCCAACAAATGGAAAAACTGCAACAGCTGAAATTGGTGGCCTAACAATCTCAGCTCTTGGAGGTCCAAGGTCTCTGTCACGGACTTCTAGAGGAACTATTCAAAACTAAACATGTATGCCACTGATAGACAGGCACAATGAGCCAAAAGTACATGACCTTCTCAGCAAGTTTGTCTGAAATGCAAACAAGAATCTGAGTGCTTGGAGAAGCTGAGCCTCTTTCATTTAATGAAGAGCAGTTTATCTTCAATTTCTTCCCATAAAATTGTGGCAACAGAGTGTATCGCTTCTTTTTAATATTCTATGCAAGTTTAGTAGTGTTTAACAGTGTTAGCAGTGTTAGCAATTTCAGAGCTTGAATATCTGAAGTTGTTCTTGTTCCACCCTCTCAAATTTCTAGGAAATAGAACTTAATCCATTAGCGTTCATATGATGCTGTTTTCATCACATTGGACTCCTCTGTGCAGAGACAAGGACCTAATCAAATACATAATCAATCAATCTGTTGTCGGATACAAACAGCAACCAAAAGACTTCTTTGTGTCCTACACAATTGCCTTTTTAAAACACAAGTGAACCACTGGTTTCTAAGACCATGTTATACACCAGCAATGCGAAAGGGGCTTGAACGCTGCACAAGAGCCTGTGGTGCTCCTCTGAAGAAACCTTGTGACTAAATTCCTGAAGAGGAACATTTATGATGAGTTACTCAGATTGCCCTGACTGGCATTTTGGAATTACACAGTATGGAAGAATTTTTAAAAGGCTGTCTGTGATCACTGGAATCAAAAGCTTCTTACAAGCTAACAGAAGTGGGCAGCTCTTTGGCTTTAGTATCACTGAGCTTTTATGAAGGATGAACTCCGTCACTACAGAACTCCACTCCTCTCTGCAGGGCAGAAGGGAAAACAACAAACCCACAACGGTTTTTAAACACCTCTTTCCGATTCCCAAAAGGCAACAAAAGAGATACACATGACATCCATCCTTGTTTTGTCTCCTTTTTCTTGGGGACCGAAACTACTGTCTTGAGATTGTCAAGACACTGCATAATAAGACTGAGTTGAGAGCAATTTATGCGGACAAACGTGGCCACATCCTCTTCTGATAAAGTCACCCACAACATTTTACTGTTGTTATGCCGTAAAAAAGCTCCAGAAAAGCAAACATAACACATACTTCATTAAAGCTTTGATAAATACTATGTAACCAAATAATTTTCATGTGCATATAAACTGCATTATACAACTTGGATCCTATCAATACTTGGCTAGAACGAAACCTTAAGCACTGATAGTTTCGAACGGATGTAATAACGTAATTAATTTTGCTAAAGTTACCATTAAAAAAAACATTACCTGTATATTAGATCAGCAGGGAACACTACAGAGAATCACTTCAAAGATCTCAGTAGCATGTGTCAAGTAAAATTAAATGGATAAGCACTTTTTACAACCATGTAGGAATTCAACCACATGGAGTATACATTATTTTCTATGTCGCAGTTTCATAAGTCTTTATGACAGTGCCTCACCTTCATTATAAAATGAAATCTGGTCAAATTACTTCTGTAAAATCTATGCACCTTTAGAGATGCCACACCTGGTGATTCACTTTGATGTAATTACTTCTGAGTATACATTCCCTCCTGTTCCATTTGAAACTTACTCTACTTAGTTTTATGTAGACTTGTGGAAAAATCCTTAAGATATTCACGCAGCAGAAATATGAATAGGGCCTTAAATGGGGTTCCTGTAAATTTGCTTTATAGCATCTATTGATAGACTGAAACACTTTTCAGTAGCTAACCTGAAGAAATTCCATTATCATTAACACAGCAGCAACAGCAACTCAACACCTTTGGAAATCATTGTGCCTGGTGCACAAACAGAATAAGCAATGGCCCGTTATAACCACCAGTGAAGTTTTAAATATCTTTATTTAAATAGTCAAAATAAATATTTCATAAGATATAGCTAACCAAAGTACCACAGCTTTTTTTTCTTTTTGAAGCACAGATATCGAAGTAACATGAGTGCCACCTCCTGGTTTAGGCCTGAAAACACTTTGGATTGTGCATCTTGCACTCAAAACTTCCGAGGGGTGTAGGTTTTTTCTTTTTTTAAATTTTTTTTTAAAATTAGTTAAGAGTGTTCACCTTCAACATTCACAATGTTGTAAGAACAGAAATAGTTAAATGCAAGAATTCAGTAAGACTTGCTTATCTTTACTGCTTGGAGCAAACTAAGTATACGAGTTCTGCACAAGTATTTTTCCTGAAATTTAACTTCACAGATGTCAAATCCTACTAAAACACATGAATGATCATAATTTTAAATAAATATTTAAATTCAGTGGCTCATAATACCAGTAGTAGTCTTGGAATCAATGTACTTTGGAGCATGTTCTTCCAATACTTTTCAACTCTAAAAAATTCCTTTTTATTAAGTGAAATGTGTGCATCTACTATCCAGGAAATGAGAGAAATAAAGGAAGACCGAGAAATTCAGCAAATGTAATACTAAAAATGGCACAAGTGCAGCCCATTTTATATTTGCTGCAACGGTCAAATCACAAGGTTCTTGAGAAAATACCAAATGGCACAAGTGCAGCCCATTTTATACTTGCTGCAATGGTCAAATCACAAGGTTCTTGAGAAAATACGGGTAAACTACAATCCACTTTTAGTTCAAGTCCATGTGCACACTACTAGCTATGCAGAGGGTAAAAGAAGTCTAAGTCCTTCTGTTTCATTTCGCACAACACCCACAAAAGTACATCAGTACTATGTCAGACAGTCATTTGATAACAGCTGTCAAAGCCATTTCAAAGCAACTGCAATTTAAGAAACAAATTTGCCCCAAATGTGTTGTACCCACTGCACGTATAAATACAACTGCAGCTTCTTTGTGCCTATGGCACTAAAAACAATTCACCGACAGCAGTGGTTCTCGGTCTCTTATTTTTCCCCGTATTCAGTATGGGCTGGAAGTACGCAAGCCCATATGCTGAGTGATACCCTGTGTCAAAGCTGTAATTCAGTATGACATCATGTTATATGGACTTCTAAATTTTTTTCTCCCAACATTTCAGCTCCCTATGCCATTTCACATTGATATATGCCCACATGTCGCCTGCTATTTTCCATAGGCCAAGAGGCCATTGCTAGATAAACGTTTTACTTTCACAACTCCACACACTTCCTCTGTATATTAACTTCCTGTCAACTAGGATCATATTCCTCAAGACTTCTGGAATACATATGACAACTTATGCAATTTTTAAAATACATAATCTTTTCAAACAACACCCATTCATGTGTTGATGTCCCAGCAAACTCTCAATCAAATTATGAAGACAGCCAGTTATTGCACTTGTATCTCACAGCAGCGAGCACTTCCAGGAGGAGGACCATGTCTCTTTCCGAAGTTGCCATCCCCACACTTTCTTATCCTAAAGCAGCAACAGTTCATGATGTATTCATCAGCACTTAATCAATTCCTTGTTTGTCAAAGGTTCTGCAATGACTTCATCACGCATGAACTGTTCCTAAAGACAGCAAGTACAGTTTTAGTTGATTTTCATTATTTTTGGATCTCTTCTCCCCCCAAAAACCACCAGATAACCATTTCGTTTTCTAGCCTGGGTATAACTGGTATAAACCTCTCTCCCAAAACACTAAAGTTTAAGGTTAAGAAAAACTATTAGGCTAGCTGACAGGGCTGCTAGGGTCACAGGCAGATCTTAACATCACTGAGATTGTTTTGTCAGTGTTCCACCCCACGCTCATCCAAGCAGGCACATTTTAAAGCCCAAACACGGCAGGCGAAGGAGACCAGAAAAACAAGAGAAGAGGCAGGAGCCAGAGACACAAACAAAAAGGGCCACTAGCTCACACAACGCTACCTCACGTTTACCAGAGACTTTTAAAAGCAAGCACCGCGCCTTCCTCAGAGGATGGCGAACCGAAACTCGGTTGGGCGGACCCGCCGCCGGGGCGCCGCAGCCGTGTCCAACAGCCGCCTTCCCCCACCCACCTGGTCGTAAATGACGCGCAGGATCAGGGAGCAGCTGGGGCAGGTGGCCACGTCCTCGCCGTTCTCCAGGTCCTCCTGCAATAGCCCCCAGGAAGGAGACAATCACCGACACGCCGTCTGTCCGACCCACAGACACCCGCGGCCGGCGGCGTGGGACCGCGG